TTCCAGTTTTCAGTCATGAAATTTTAAAATATACTATTGAAGAAAAATTACCTATTAATACACTTATAACTGATTTATCAAATGAATTAAATATAAAATCTAATGGTTTTTATCAAATTTATGAATTATTATCATTAAATAAAAATTTATTTACAATTAATAATCAAACAGGACATCTGATTATTAAATCAATACTTGATCGTGAACAAATGTGTTTAAAACGACAATGTTCATGTAATTCATGTGAAGTTATTCTTCAACTTTCAATAAAAACCAAAGATAAAATAATTTATAAAATAATTGAAATTAAAATAAAAGATCGGAATGATCATTCACCTAATTTCGACAAACAATTAATGATACATGTTATACATATCAAAGAAAATGTACCTTTAGGCTATCGAATCATTTTACCTAGTGCAAGCGATCCGGATGAAGGTATGTTGTTGACCTTGTACATATATATATATATATATATTTCTATAATAATGAACATTGCCCTAAGGAAAAACAAACCAAAATAACTATACCGCCCATTAAACAACAACTAGTTTGTTTATTTTTCTCTATGTTTAGGATTCAATAGTGTTCAATCATATAGACTTGATGGACCTAATTCTGATGATTTCGATGTTGATTTTTCATCATATGATATTCCATATTTAATTGTACGTTCATCACTTGATCGTCAACGTTTATCATCTTATTCATTAATATTAACTGCCTCAGATTATGGTGAACAACCACGTTCGAATTCAATACAACTTGATATTCATATATTAAATATAAATGATTCAATACCAACCTTTGTCCAATCGATTTATAGTATTGACATACGTGAAGATACTATTATTGGAACAACAATATTAAAAGTTGAAGCAATCAGTGATAATAATGAAAAAATTTTTTATGAACTTTTAACAGAATCACCATTTATAATTGATCGTTTAACTGGACAAATACAATTGAGTAAAACATTAGATTATGAAAGAGAAAAATCTTATCGATTAATTGTTAAAGCTTATGAAAATTTCATACCTACATATGCTAGTATATTTATTCGTGTTATTGATATTAATGATAATCTTGTTTTAATGCAAATTAAAGTCGAAGGTAAAAACAATAAAAACATAGTTTTCAAAAAATACTTTTTTTTTTTTTATAACTTAGATAATATAACATTAAAACAAAAACAAAATGATAAAAATGTTATTTTTATCCAAGAAAATACACTTGTCGGTACAACCATTGCACATGTTATTCTTAATGATCTTGATTCATTTGGTAAATAAGTATTTTTTATTTATTTAAAATATTAAATTTTTAAAGATTTCAAAAACTGAATATGAGAAATATAATATTCAAATATCTTTTTTGAGTCATATCTATAGAGTGAATAGACAAAATTTTATGTATGCACTCACAGATATAGGTAACTCTTGTAAGTGCTAATATAAAATACTAACAAGAGAATGAAAAGAATGAACTAGCCATTGCGTCAACGTGTCGATGCATATTTCTCAGTTCTATATCATAGTTAATGAAATTTCTATATTGAATAAGACTTAAGTACTATTTGATTTAAATAATTTTGTAATAATATTTAACAGCTTTTAAATCTTACGATATTACTATCAATGTTGGAATAAATTTTAGTATTACATAAAAATTATAGAGTTACGAGTAACCTTTTATCTGTCGATACAAAAAATTTTTTCAGATTCATGCTAGCTATTATCGTCATGAAGAACATCTAAAAATATAGCTACTCTAAAGTTTCTTTTTTCAAGTGATTAGAATTCTCTTGGTTCCAGGTCGTTTTTTTTTTGAAGAAGAACCCTAATTATTCATACTCGATATAAATATGTATACTGGTTAGTAAAATAATTGTTAGACATTATTTAAAGTATTCATAGAGCAGTTTTTTTGTTATTATTTTCATTAAATATATTTATATATTTAATTTAGCTAATGGAAATCCATATCTTCAATTACGTACAACTGAACCTCCATTACCATTCATTTATAAATTAATCTATCAAAATAATTTTCAAAATATAAAATTATATTCACTTATTCTTAATCAAAATCTAGATCGAGAATCAAAATCAACTTATAATAATATACAATTAATTGCATATGATTCAGGTACACCAACATTACATACACAATTAAATTTAATATTAAATATAACTGATATAAATGATTGTATACCAAAAATAATAACAAACTCAACAATATATAATATCTATGAAAATAATCCAAATGGTTATATTATTGATAAATTAAATGCATATGACTGTGATATAGAACAAAATGGTGAAATTGAATATCATTTATTAAATAAAACAGATTTATTAATAATTAATTCTAAAACAGGTCAATTAAATTTAAATCAATCAATTGATTTTGAAATATTAAATAAATTTCAACAAAAAAATTTAACAACAATTGATTTAGAATATCATATTGAAGTTTATGATCATGGACAACCATCATTATCAAGTCAAACAAAAATTATTCTTCGTATACATGATATCAATGATTATTCACCAGAATTTGAGAAAAATCATTCATATAATTGGACATATGCACAATCTATACTACAACCGGGTTCAATTCTTGGTCGTATATATGCATATGATTATGATTCAGGTTTACAAGGTCTTATTAATTATTCTATACGTTCATTTCATCCATGTTTAACTCTTGATATAACATCACTTGGTTATATTTATATACCATATGAATCATCAATTTTAACATGTTCATTATTATCTTATACATTTGAAATAACAGCAAGTGATTATGATCCAATTAATTCACGTTCAACAATACAATTATTAACAATTAATATTGATTTAAATTCAATAAATAATAATAATCATTTATTACCAAAACTTTTACCTTTAACAATTCAACGAACAATTCTTGATATAAATACACTAGGTAAAATTGCATTTATTATTGATATAACTAATTTAAATAATTATACATATCAACCAAAAATTTATTTAAATAATACAAATTTACTTTCATGTTGGAATATAAGTTCAACAGGTGAAATTAGTCTTATATCTCATCCATATGCTTCATCATATATATTATCATTATATATTATTGATGAATATACAAATGAATATTTATTAATGAAACTTCAAATTGATATATGTAATAGTTCAATATTAAATTCATGTCGTCAATTATATGTTCTCTCGGATAATCGTATGATACTTATTTATGCTATTGGATTAGCTTTAATTATAACATGTATATGTATAATTATATTTTCATTGATTATTTGTTTATGTTGTGGAAAAACTAAACAAAAAAGTGAAGTTTTATCATCAACACATCAACATACATTTTTACAATATCATGATGATTATAATAGTGAAAAAGTATAAAAGAAAAAAAGAAAGACATAGATTTCAATTAAAAAATTTAATTTTTTATTTTAAATTAATTATAGACTGAAAGTTCAAGTGATCAATATAAAACTTCATCAAATTCAACGATTCGAGAAGATGATCGTATGTTTGATTATATGAAACTTTTTTCTATTTTCTTTTTATGAAACACAATGTAAAAGAAGTTTTGCAGTGTAGCGATAGATATCTGAAACTCTTTAGACGCTATTGATATATAGTCTGTGATTGTATATCAACAATATCTTGTTCTAAAATTTTCTTAATATATTTCTCAAAGGTTAAGTAAAAGAATGTTGAAGAAATATGTCCCGAAAATCTATAGAATAAAATAATCTCTCTATAATTAGTAATAGTGATTACATAGTGTTTCACATTTTAATCTTACAAGAATTCTATTAACAGCTTCTGTTTTTTTTTTTGTATTTAGATGATTCAGCATGTATTATTAATGGACATTCATCATCATCAAATTCATCATCAAGTGGTATACAAACATGGTATAATCAAAAAGAATCAATAAATCAAATATATCCAACTTCATCAACATATTATTATGATCTTAAATTAGCTGAATTATTACGTAAAAATCAACATCCACCATGTATACATTTAAATGAACTTCCAACAATTCCACAATCATTAAGTACTGATTATGGATTTAGTAGTTTAGAATTATCAGCATCATCGTCCACATCAACATTACCAAATCAACATATTGAAATAAGTGTTGATCAATCACCTGAAAAACAATTGAATATCAAAAGTTTTATTTCATCTCGTGAATGTGTTGTTTAATACAGTTGACTATTTCGTCTTTGTTCTATATATTTGTTTGTCTTGCCATATAAAAAAAACAAAAAAAGAAAACGAAACCTTTTTGAGAATAAATTCTATTGTATAGATATTGATTCAATAAGATTAAAAGAAGAAAAAAAAGAAAAGAAAAGATGAAAGTAAACGAGTGCACTTTTGATAGTAATCAATTGATATACGATTAGCACATGTGATTTATCACTAGATTTTTTTTATTAATATGCTGAATGATTTGATCAGAGTTTTGTAATTAATAGATCAACCAAATATTCATTTTTTTGTTTTATTCCAATTTAAGTTCAAAAGAATGTGTTAATAAATCTGATAGATGCTTACAATGAGTACAATTATATGTTGTTGATACGACGATAAACATCTTGTCATTAATTATGATTTATGAAGGACGAATAATTCACATAAAAAATGAATACATTGTAGTTATTTTTGAAATACGTGCACTTGTTGATATGTGATCACTAATCAAATGGCGTAAATTAATTATTTTGATGCACATTATACATGCGAAAAAAATATATACTCATTTTTATACTCAACGCTCCTTTTCTCCTTCATTTTGGTATATAATAATCATTCGTCCGTTAAATATAAAAGCTTGAGTATAGGTAGTAAAATAGTAAGCACTATATCTAAAAAACAAAAAGAAAGAAATAGTCATTAAGTTTCAATACAGTGGGCAATATTGCACACGGTCTAATTTTGTGATATTTTACTTTTGAATAAAATTTATTTGTTCAAATGGGAAATTCAACATCTATCGGAGCTCGTGTCGTTTCAGTTCTTATTATTATCTTGGGTATTATTCATCTAGCTGTTGGAATTGGTATTGTTGTTAGATACCGTCAATATGGTGATGTTTTTCGACAAGCAATAGGCGTATCTTCGTATAATATTTTTATTGGAATTTTTGCTATTATAGTTGGAATAATGGGTTTCATTGCCATCTCGCTAAGACGTGTTACTTTATGTAAATATTTCTTATACTAAAAACTAAAATAAACATGAGAGAAAATTTTTATTCTTCTAGGTAGAGTTGTTGCCATTATTTCAGCTGTCTTGGGTGTCTTCGCATTAGTATCACTTATTGTTGCAATGGTCATGGGTGCTCAAGCAATTAATTTTATAAGAGGACGTTTATCATATCATATTAGTGCATATGTTGAAGATCAAAATTCTATTAATATCATGGATGCCGCTCAAACAAATTTTCGGTGTTGTGGTGAGAACTTCTGGCTTGATTGGGGACGTTCCCAACTAGGTTCAACAGCTACAACAGGAACCTCTGGAATTATAGGAACCGGCACAGGCACTAGTACGTATACTGATTAAATTACTGAAACCAATATCAGTATTACTTTGAGCATGAATACTAACATGAGTATCGATACAAGTACCAGTATGGCAGGAGATAAGGATGCAACTAACTCAGAATTAGAAGATAATGATCGCAAGTTCTTGTTATTTTTAATAGGTAACGGACATCGTCGTCGTCGTCGACAGTTCTATCCGTATTCAAGCCCGTTAATAGCAGCTGTTCGCAAAAGGCGACAAATAATAACAGGTGGCACCTTCCTTGGCCTACCTTCAAGTTATAGTGTCAATTTACCATTATCTTGCTGCAAAGACAGTGGAGTAAGTTCACCCAATTCACTCGGTGGAGGTAAGTATCTTTCTATGAGTAAATAATGTAAATAATATGAAAATATTTATTTAGTTTGTGTCATCTCGGTTAGTAATAGTTCAAATAGCTTCTATGTTAGTGGATGTATGCCAGCTATTGCAAATATTGTTATTGCTCAATTAGCAGGCTTTGTTCTTATTAATACTTGTCTAGCTATTCTTTCTTTTGTATTTTTTGCACTCATAATACGAATGTTTCCTGATATGTTTGATCCAAATCTTGCAAATAATCCAAATAATCCAAATAATAAACAACCTTTACCAAATGACATGCAGCAACAACAAAACCAAAATGTAGGATATTACTATAGCAATAATGATCCCAATGCTAATTACGCTTATACCCTTCCACAACAGACGGTTTATCAATAACGTTATGAATTATTGACAACATGATTTTATTTTTTTTTTATTGTATATTATTATTTGAATAAAAAGAAATTTAAGTTGAATATAGATAATATGTACAGTCATTGCATCTCGATCAAATATCGATATCATCAACTGATTATAATTGTTGTTGATTTATAACAGAAAATATATTGAACTTCGAGAAAGGGAATTCTTATAATCGTATTATATTTGAAAAGAATAAACCAGCAGCTATTGATATATCTTTATTAAATAATTAGCTAGAATATATAATTCCAGCTAATTATTTAGCATGTGAACATAAAAATCCATACGCTTACAAAGTTCTCTAGTTGCTCGTCAATGATAATTCATTTATAGACAGTAGCAAAGAAACAAAAAAAACACAGATTGTTAAATAAAATATAGTGAAACGAATCATTTAATTTCACATGCAGTAAACATTTCAGCGAACTTCTTGCTCATGTTCAATTATCGAAATTTGATTGATCAACTGCTATTGTTAAAGGATTAGAATGAAACATTGCAATATGTGTTGATAAAACAGTTCAATGATAGTTGAATATAACTTGTCGTTGTTTTGTATATTTATCTGTCGTGCTCGATAGAAATAACCGATTGAGAACAACTTTCATTGTACACAGTCTGTGAGATATTGACTCACTATGTTTAAAAAAAAGAAAAAGATGAACGAATATCAGTCCATTTGGTAGTAATCAATTCATTATAGATTGACACATCTTGATCTAATAAAAAAATCTGTCTTTTTTTTGTAAATTTATAAGAAAATATTTATACTTATATCTGATAGATAATTGAGGAAAAGGAAGTTGAATTATATATTTGATTTAATCTTAAAACAAATATATATATATATTATATAATTCAAATATAATTACAGAAAAACTTCTTTATATGAGCATCTTCTCATACCGAATAGTGAGCGTTCGTTTTTGGTCTCATTAACGGTAACAACTTCTGTGATGTAAGCAACATGGGTTCTCATATTCACATGCAAAACTAAAAAATAATGTTATGTATAATGCACTATGATAACCAATCATGAGACACATAAGAAATAAGGAGATGGACTACCCGTACATATTTAAAAGATAAAAAAAAATATTAGACAACAGAAACATTGTTTGGTGTAGTATTTCATCGTTTTTATATTAATAGCTGGTAGCATCAAATCATGATGACACGTGTTGATTCAATTGTGATCAAAAAAGATGACATGATAAATTGTTGGAAAGAAGAAAAAAGGTATCTTGTGCAGTCGAAAAGTGATTGCAACTAAATATTTATAGATCGAAAAGAAGAAACTGAAAACCTATCAATAATGAGTATCTCCATAAAGTGAGCATTTTTCATGGGTTCCAATTGTGCCCACAAAGGATAGATTTTACGGTAGTTTTGTATTCTTCAAAATATCATTCAATTCAAAAGTAATGTAAATATAAATTTAGAAGGTTTTTCGATAATTCTTCAACGCTATTGTAACTTTTACTATATATCTGATGTCATTCAATAATCGATGATGGTTTATAATTCAGTCCAAATTACCAAAGAAAACTGTTATTGTTGGGCTGTAAATTGACGAACTAATGATGGCACACGACTTAAGAGCCACCTCTCTGTCAGAAACTTAATTTTGCTTCAGAACAACTAATTTGACCGAAAGTTTCAGAGAATATGTGTTCTGGTAAGAACAGTTTACAGTAAAAGTTTCGTTCGAAAATATTGAGTTGCTCATGAGCTTTCATAACATCAAGGATCAAAAAGTAGATCTCTGCTTGACAAAGATTTCGGATCGATTTTAAAAAAAGACCAAGACCTCCTACTACAACCTACCAGAGTCGAATATTTTTGAATATTATTTTTTTTACATCTGATGAAATTTCCTCTAGGGAAGAACGTTCAGTTTTTTTACAAAGTCAGAAAGGAAATCTATGTTATAGAGTGCAATTTTCTTTCCAATTAAAAACCGTCCTGAATTTCCTAGTATGTAAAATCATTCGAAAAATCTTTAGTACAAGAACAGGAAAAAAATAGAAAAATCTGCTTTGAAAACAACGTGAAAGAAAGTTTGTTCTAGGAACTCAAGCTTCCTTTATTACTTGTAATCAAAATTTCATGAGAATAACAGATCATTTCTTTGAATATTGTGAAAAAGCCATTAGTTTTAAAATGATTCGTTTTATATATTATTGGAGAAAAAGACGTTCGATATATCTACTCTTTCGATTGCTGAAAACCACAGATCACTAGCTATTTACGATCACGACTTATTCAACTTTTAACCGAATACTTTTCAATTCTTACGTCAACATTAGATCATCTGATCAATTAATTTTTACTGGAAATTATTATCAAGCGATGTTGTTTTATGTAATCAAAAACTTGTTTGTTTAAAAACTAGAATCCAATGTTTTTGTAAAAACAAACAAAATAAATATCAACATAATATAATCACATACAAGACGAATAAAATGAAATTCAAACTTCAAACATTTATTTCGAATTGTTAAATAATCTATGTTTATAAACAAACTCCATTTGAGAATAATACAAGAAACAATGAATTATAGTCGTAGCAATTTCAAAAATATCTATACTTGATTATTACTCACAATTCGAAAAACATTCACTAATGTCATTTGAGTCATACATCTTAGAGATTGAAACGAATTAGAAAATCTCGATTTGATTCAATTCTATTTCGGTCTGTAATACGTATTAATCGAATCACACTCGATCATTATTTCACATCACGTTTGTAAAAAAACAAAATAGAGAGTTAAATGCACTTTTCTTTCTCATTCTTTTCTAATTGTTTTTTTTTTGTATGTATTTTTACAATCATCCGTTACGAATATAATGTTTTTCGTATGTATAAGTGCAAAACATATTTATTACATTTGAAGGAAACAATAAATATATCAAAGCAATAACAAGGTGATATTTATAAATATAGAGTGTTGTGTATTACAATGCAAAAAACAAGAGAATTATCTAAGTTTAATATTTTTAACAGTGTTTTTGAGCTTATAATTCTTGCATTTTCGTCTAGTTTTTGTGTTAACTGATTTAGAAGCGTTGAGCATGTATATATCATGTATACAAAGATAAGACCAATGTTGTTGGTGATTTAAGATGAAGCTGTAGCATTTGCTAGTATTGTATTCGTATTCTTTACAATGCTTATTAATTCCCTTGTTGTTAATTATGTAATCTCTCGTGTCTAAAATCATATAAATTATCATAGAGATAGTTAAGATTCCGGAAACCTCGTCGATAATCTTCAAACAAAATCATGATTATCGTGGTGTTAATATTTGACTTGACTGATTAAACAATGATATAAAAACTGCTGATAAAAATCTTTCATCTACATATTAAATCACTAAGAATCTTAATTTTAAACGAAATTCTTTCGATCGAATCATTCGATGAAGACGATCATCATGATCCGACGATATCAGTATATATAGAAGTTAATCTGTATCTTTTCGTATTACTTCACCACATTTTTTTTTTGTATAAAACAAACTATTAGCGTCAGAAACTTCAGTCAATTCTGTAAGTACTCATTTTTATATACCAAAACATGGGAACAAGATTGAAGTTTTTATTCTTATTTTAGATTTTAAGTGTAATGCTAATAATCTTCCAAACAATTCTTAATATCGACAACTATTCAAGACAATTCAGCTAAGTTTCTATTGAGTAAACATTTGATATTGAATATATTCCCGCAAGAATGTATGTTGAAAAAAGACACAATAGGTGAATCATCATTTTAATAGTCTATAGGTTAGATAAAAAACAAGGATTTATTTATTGTGTAAAGAAAAAAAAAGATGATTCATAACATATATATTTTAAGACAATGTCAGTCAATATACAATAATATCAACATTATAATAGAAGGATCAGTCATGTTATTTAAAAGAGGAAAAAATTTCAATTTTAATTACGTGTAATTAAGAGAGGATCAATGAGCAACAAATCAGTAATATTTGTATAAATACATGCGACGCTAGAAGAAAAGAAAATCATGATGAATGAACACATCTCACTGTTATAGTATTGTTAGAACTTCGGAGATGACGCATGGAAAGAGCTCCATGACAAAGTAATAAAATTGAGAATATTTTCACAGTAAAACGATGCTTATAGTTTATCTTTTTTTTTGTGACATCATCAAAAAGTTTCTCTTTATTTTTTGTTTGATTAATACTATACAACACGACTACTAAAATTCCGATAAATAAAAAGTGAAGTAGTTCAATATTTTCTGACAATCAAAATTTTTCGATTTATATTAAACCCCTCCCCATATTAGAAGCCCCCGGGGGGCTTCTAATATGTCTATCATATGAAGCTTCTGGAGGGGGCTTCTATTAAGTCTCAAAAAAATTTCGTAAACTGCCAGGAAAAAGGGTTCGCAAGGGTTTTTAGCGACTTTCAAGGTTTTTATGAGTTTTCCAGAAGATTTTTGACATTATTTTCAGATGTTAGCTAAGCTTGATAAGAGTCAGCCAACTTTTTACCTGAAAATCGAAAAATTTTAGCAGTTTTAGCATGAAAAGGCGAAAAAAAATCTTGAAAATTTTAAAATTTTTTCGAAAAATTAGGGGGGCTTCTAATACGTCAAACACGTTGTTCATCTCAGAGGGGGCTTCTAATAAGGGGGGGCTTCTAATATGGGAGGGGCTTCTATTATGGGGAGGGGTTTACAGTAAAACCTCTATTAGTAAATACTTCTTATTTTAAACAAGATCTCAGTCTCAAGAAGCGATCTTTTTGCTGGAAATGCATATTTCTTAAGACAACTCTTTCGTAGTATGAACCGAAACATTATTTTTAGGCTCCAAATAGTTATATTTGTATAATTAAGATGCAAACTAAAATCAAAGTACTCAATAAAAATTTAAAATATTTGACATTAAAAACTTTGATGAACATATATTTGAATGAATTGTACAATAATATTTATCAAATTTACGTTTATCGAAATTGAAACAATAATACAAGACTTCTTGGAACAAAACAAAGCCTTTTGTTCTATTGAAAATTTTTTTAAAATATTCAGCAGTGATAAAGAAACTTGTATATAAAATATCTCCATATATGAACACTTTTTAAAGAAATTAGCTAATGCTCATTTAAGAGAAACTTTATTGTACTTAGTTTTAGAACAAGTATTTCGATAGATACTCTAAATCTATGATTAACAAAAAATTGAATTTTTCCACAAATGATAGATCATTAATGACATCATTATATATCCATTAATGAGAGGAATTACAATGGTACAAACTGTGCTTATCTATTGTACATTACTACATTTTATCATAAATAATAATTTAAAAAGAATAGGAAAATAATTTCACGATCAATTAATCTCTTGGGACCCGGCGACGTATATATACGTCCTGTTTTTCGCTTAGAATATCAGCAATGTATAAATATGTCTGAATTTAGTTTATTGGACAAGAATGTCACTGGTATATTATTTGATTATTTGGAAAAGTATTTTATCTGCTGACTTACGAGCTAGAGCCGTGAAGCATACTAGGAATCTATCATTTCAAAACTTGTCATACATTCCCTATCGTCATTTTACATATGAATAGTATACGTCATTGGTTGTTTTTCTTTATTCTACGTTTATGTATATTTCCAATGTGTGACCTACTGTTGGTATATTCCTTTCGTATTAGTTATTCTGTATTGAATTTTGTCCTGTTAGCTTATTATCATTTTGGGATTTTTTAAGATATGAAAATTCCTTCTCTCTATCACCTTATATATTGATGTTTCTGTAATACAGAAATGCAATTTCTTTCATAAGTAAAATAAAACCTATGTTTAAACATTTCCTATAGGATCTTGAATTTTTGAAACAAAGCGGGGCGTCGAAAGGTAAATTACGTTAACAAATTTCACGAACAATCTAACAATATGTCTTCACTATTATCAAAAGATAAAAAAGATGCTCTATCAATTGATAATGTCATCGATAAGATAGAGTAGAAAGGATTAAAAAAGCACGTAGTATCATTTGGAATCAACCTTTAAGTTTCTTTTTTTTTTACTACTAACGTAAAAATTAATGAACATTTATCAGTGTAATAATATCAATAATTCGATAAATATCTATTTTATTTTAATAAGTTTAGACATTTATAGGTTTTTATATAGAAAATGTTTAAATCATCATTGTTTATCTTTAAAATATATTTTCGAAATTTCTAATTCTGTATAAAATTTAACATTCTATTATCATGACTGACATCGATACGGATTATAATTAGTAATAAAATGAATCTCTTTGTTATTAAATTTTATATTATCAAAGTACAGATAAAATTTTATACCGAGCTCATCTACAACTTAATAAATCAATACAATTCGAATCAAAAGAAAAAAAACTTATTAATATTGAAGGTCAACTATGTGCTTGTTCGTTTGTATGCAAATTGTGAGTAATATCAAAAAATAAAAAAGCCTTCACTCTGATGTAGTCATAAAGCATTTGTCTTCCTACATTTTTCTCCATTCATGCGTTGCATGATATGTTGTTTCTTTCATTTCACACCATGCATACCTACTTTTTTTTAGTATAATAACGTATTTTAAATTACTGGTATTTAATTGTGAAAAAACTGATCTCGTCAAAAGTGACCACTTGCAAATTGTTTTCCTCATTAATTTACTTCGCTGCTAATTATACAACATGACGTCTCTTAGTATTGTAGCAATTGTTGTTATGGCTTTACTTTTGGCATTTTCTCTTATTCATCTGGGTGTTAGCATTGGTATTATTGCACAGTTTCGTAAATATGGAAATTTTTTTCGTCCACAAATAGGATTAGCTGGTTTTAATCTTGTTATTAGTTTTTTTGGTCTTGCAGCCGGTGGCCTAGGTTTAGCCGCCATTATGACAAAAAAAAAATCACTCGGTAAGATTTATTTTAAAAAACTAAAAGATTTAAGTACACAAATTAACAAAAATATTATTCGAGTGGTTCTATTTTTGGTAACATACTTGTTTTTTCAGATGAGTCAGTCTGAATCATATAGTGAAACGTATTTATTGACATGCTTTTTCATATTTGATTCTTACTCATCGTACAAATGTAATGAGTTATCCATTTATTTGCATTCGAAAACATTTTTAATTGACATGAAATATTAATGAATATATTATGTTCAGATTAATGTTTAAGAATTAAAAATTTTTACGAATAAAACTAACAAATGCCATACTGTTTTGTTTTTTGTACGAAACGTACGGGTCGTTTCGTCACGGATCATAGTACTGTATTCAAAAATAAACTATTTGATATTTATACAGCTTACAATAGAAATAATCTGTTGAAAATAATTTTTTCAAAATTATAATTCTTAATAGAATCATTGAATATTTTTACAGTCTAATGAAATTCTTTTATAAATAGCAATTAAACAAAAAACTCTCTTGCATATATAGCAACTAAAAAGAAGAAAACTGAAACTTTCGATGTTGACATATACGAATCAGATTAATTACATCTTTTTCGGTTTCTTTTCTAATTTAGGTATAATTGCTGCTGTTGCAGCTGCTATAACAGGCATCTTTGCACTTGCTTCATTAGTGAGTGCACTTGTTATAAATGCAAAGTCATTGAGTTATGTAAGTTCACGTTTTCACGAGCATTTGATAAACTACAAGACAATTGAAGATTCAAGAATTAAAATTGATCTTATACAAAGTCACTATACATGCTGTGGCATCGATACGTGGCTTGATTGGTCAATGGCTGACCTAAATGGAACATCACCAATGACCACTACAACAAATATGAATACAGCTACAACGGTACCTACCACATCTCAGGCATCGGATACTACCGATAGTTCTGCTACAACAAATAGCAATGTACAAACAAGTACAGCAAGTAATTCAAGGTAAGTGAAAAGAGATATAATTAATATTTGTAATAATCTTCATCATTAACAAACACTTTTATTGATTGATTCTTATAGACGAAAACGTCAAGTAATGCCACCACATAATTCTATTGAATATTTGATCATTACATACGGTGTTACTTTACCTAAGACTTGCTGTAGTAGTAATGCAATTTTCACTGATACAGTTGAAAGTTGTAAGTATCAATATTTATTTCATCAATAATTGACAATAGGAAAAAACAAAATATTTATTGTTTCTTTTGTTTTTATTCTAAAGATTGTATATCAAATGCTAATAATACTGTCAATAGTTTTTATCCGATTGGATGTGCAAAACAACTTGATATCGTTGCTGGTAATCAAGCAATGGGCTTTGGTGTTATTAATTCCTTTATAATTGTTTTGGCATTTGTGGCTATACCTTTAGCGCTTCTTGCTGGATCCGCACCCATGGACTAGTTTAGTTTTCAAAGATAATCATAATTTTTTTTTTCTTAAAATTGTATAAGTTAATCGAGATGATTATTTAAAACAATAAGAACGACATAATTGTGTATTAATTTGAACAAGACATATATTTTCTTTTTCTTTTAATAGAACGTCTAGACTTAACATTTCTATTGATTCGTCATAAGCAGAAATCTTTATTTTTTATTGTTATTTTCATTATTAATTATTAAACTTGCTTTATTACTTATATTTAATTAAGGCTTTTTTTTTAATCTGGTAGTATTTAATTCCCATTAGATCTAATTATTCTAATAAATATTAATCTTTACTGTTTTGTGTTGACAAAATAAATCTGTTAAAAAGTTTTTATTCATTTTAATACGAGCATAAGAGATTTCACTAAAAAAAAAATTAATAGTGAACATTTGAGAACATGATTGATTAAAAAGTATTCTTCTTTGAGTCAACAATGAAAGTTAGTTTTAAGATATTTTTCTTTCTGGTTCTATAAGTATCTGGTATTATTTTAAAACTAAAGTAAGCTAATAAATAAGTTGAAAAAATCAAAATATCCTATATAATCTTATTTTCGCATATATTTTGTATTGATATATTAAAAATATACGAAATATTTTAGACCAGTTACATTATATGGTTCACTAATGAAAGTCATGCTCTGTGCAACTAGATTTAATAGATTATTCTGTGATATAAACTGTTTGAGAAAAAAGATCGATATAAGATAACATCATGATTTCGTCAAACAAAAAATTATCTTAGGCGTACGGTCCTAGGTAGGAAGCTGCAGATATACGTTTTTGCAATCTCGGAGCCGGAGCTCCCTCGTGCTAGGATCATTTGTCGCATGAATTGTTAGTCTTTAAGTATCCTGAAGGAGCATCAAAAGTGAATTTACGAGAGTGAGCAAGGATGTAAAAAACTTTTGCACTCGTATCCACACCCGTCATAGTTTGACACTGATGAACTGTCGTAAAATGGTACGCTATGCTTCTCATCAATCTATGAAAGCAAAACATATGATAAACATTAGTCTATATCGTGCGACATCTTCTGAATTAAATAATATAGTTTAAGAAGAAAATATTATCTTTTGAATTTGAATTATTATCGAATATGCGTATATGAAAAAGTTGAATCTCTAATATCAATGATTTGTCATCTAATCTTTCAAGATGTCATTAGTGATTCCCCTAAAAATGACTCATCTATTTACTTTTTTGATCTTCATTCTTTTAGGACAGCCGTTTTTACTCTTCGGATCTTCTATTCATTTACCTATTATCATAAAAACATATTATTTTGCTTCATTTAATACAAGTCATCATCAAAAAAATCGATAGACAATAGTTTTCATGCTTTTAAATGTTTGTTTTAGTTCTATCTTCACATTTTTTTGTCGTAATGATAAAGAGATTTTGTTATTAATAACTTTGATTTCTAAATAATCTTACATTGAACTTGTTGATATTCTATACTTTTTAAATTTTATTTTGCCTGTTGTAGTAGATTGAACACAATGAATCACATTATTCTATTTCTAGATGCAAGATTTAAAGGCTATTCAAACAAGATTAAATGATGATCTCTTTTCAGCAACACAAGAAACGTGTCTTGCTTTATGTCGTGTACAAGACGTAACAAAAAAATCAAAAGATAAGATGTACATTCTATGCGCTTGTAGTAAGTATATGTATTTTAAACAGATTATTTCATTAGGATAATGTTTATAGTATTATTTGATGAATAATTCATAAATTGCTACCAAGGAATGATTAGACAGTAATTCGGAGAATATCTTATAGTGATTATTTTAAACAAAGTGCTTATAACTATGAATTCTTAATATAAAATTTGTTTCCTGTTATTTGTAAAATTGACACACTCTTAAACTCTATCAAGGCGAAAATTATGTTAGAATGAACATGATTAAAAAAAACGTTTACACCAATATTATCATATGCAAGGTTATCGATTAAAACGGGAATGGTGCGAACTTTTCTTCCCTAAAAATGTCAAACTATTTGTAAAATTTTTTACAATCTCGTAGGAAACCATGGTAGCAAAGAAAATTTTATCGGCTTTAGCTCTGCTTCTAACAGGTAACCAGACAGAAATGTTGTCTCTCTCAAAAAAAAAAGACCACAAAGTCAATGGTTTCAGTCTCTATCACCGTCAGAAACAATCGTGAACTCTTATCATATATGAATAAATAATCAGCGACATGATATCAATTTTTTTGTTCCTTAACACTATTTAAGAGATAAAATAATGACAAGTTCTTGTACGACATAGCAAGTTAAAACAAACAGACAAGCATCATAAATATTTTTCATACAACAAAGACTTCAATTAATGCAATATTTTTGATCATATTAATTCTATTTTGTATAATCGAAAAAAGTGTAATTATGATAGCAAAAACAACATACGACTAGACATAGTATGAACAGGTAAGAGAAAATGAACGAGATAAATTATATATATAATAGAAAAACAAGAAAATTCGTTTTTGACAATTAATTTTCGCAACAGTAAAATATTTATTGCTCGAGTTGAATAAATTTGTCAAAGTACTCTTCAACAATAAGACAATGCATCAACATTGGATTTTCAAAACTTTGGTCTAATCTGTCAGATCGACAGTTCTGTTACATAAACAGTTATATCTTTGGTCAAATGATGATGGGAAAAATCTTGTTATTAATACGACAGATTACTTTCTAAAAGACAGTTAAGATTTTATGGAGAAAATAAAATCTTTAAATATTCTTCACTTTCAAATATGAATATTTTTGTATTATTCATATGCATAAATCTTAGAAAGAACTTCTTAGTAAATCAAGTATTTTTTTTATACATTTTAAAAATTTATTTAGTTTATCAAAAAGCAGATCCACAACCAACATTACATCTAGTTCGATTAGGTGAAAAAACAAATGAAATAGCTAAAAAGAAAATAAACATAATATTATCTGATATAAAAACAATTGATTATGCTCCAGTAATAAATGATAAACGTCAACAATCATCACTTGGTATTGATATAACAACAGCAGATCGAGAATTTACATTTCTTGCCTCAACATCAGAAGAAAAAAAAGAATTTATTACTAATTTAAGAAAAGTTTGTATCAATGAGAAAAGAAAACAAAGAACAAGATTTGTTTTTTTTTTTGAATTGTCTAAATTTTTAGATAACAGCTCATTATTTAAAACATAGTCGAGATAAACCTAAATATCTTAATATTCCAAATGATGATGATTTACTCGGAAGTAAGTAAATCTTTTTATTTCACGAAAACAAAAATCAAAGTTATTTTTAAAATTTTTTTTTTAGATACACAAAATCTTGAACCATTATCAAGTCGTACATCATTACCTGAAACATGGGATGCTATAACACAACAAGAAGAACAAGATTTAACTAATCTTATGTCAGAATATGATTTTGCTATTAAAGATGCTGAACGTTTTGTTGATATGCTTCAACAACGTTTAACTGATCTTGATGTGGTAAATAAAAACATAAATAAATAAATTAATGATCTTTTGATTATTATCATTTTAGGCAAATGTTGAAACAGTAATGGCATCAGAAAAAGGTGCTGTTCAATTAATGAATATGTTAGATAAAGCAGTTGAAGAAATATCAAAAATTGATGGTCGCTTAGGTCTTTATGAAAAAAAATTAAGTGTATGTTAGAAAAATTTTTTTTTTTATGTCAAAAATAAAAACAAAAAATTTTATTTTTTCTCTTTAATAGACAGTAGCTGATGCAGTTAAAATTATGAGTCGAAAAGATTCATTAATACAAATTGAAACAGCTAATGTTAAAAAACTCAGTGAAACACTTGAAAATTTACTGGTAAGATTATTTAAAATTTATTTTTCATCAATAAATAATTCATTGATTTTGTTCTTTTTTTTTTTTTTCGTCATTAAAAACAAAGGAAATGCAAGATTTTTCCGATGATTATATTAAATTATTACAAAATAGTGATTTAACAAATGATAATGATCGAACAATGTGTATTGAAGCAGCAACATTATTAACTCAAGCATTAGGTGTACAATTACAACCAGGTTTAGAAATTTCATTTGAAAAGAAAATAATCTCATTTTTGAATGCTATATAGGAATGGAAAAAATGACTGCTATTAGACAACGACGAGATTTACTTGAACAAACTCAAAAAGCATTTTCATTACGATGTAAAAATTTTCTTAGTAGTAAATTTGTTTTTCATGTGAGTAAATTTCAATTAATAATTCTCGACACATATAATCGTTCTCTATAAATTAATATCCAAAACCAAATCAGACTTAATGAACATCAGGCAGATAACTTCACTGTCACGGTACGGTTTTCTACTTTGCTTTTTATGAGCAGACAGTATCTCATTTATATGTAAATTGATTTCTAACGAAATTTGCAGTAGAAATCACTAAATAAGGAAATGAAAGAAAATATTTATATAAAAATAATAGAAATAAGGTAATCAAAATAGGAAAATAACGTCTGAATCATAATTACAGCACATATGAATCAATAAAGAGTGGTTTGATGCTTGCAATTAGAGTACATTATTGTACGTATACATCTAAAGTATCAGCTTTAGATGAAATACTTTATATCCTAGAATAAGATGATTTCTGATGAGTTTCATATTTTATGAAAAATATTAGTGACATTGTAAGTATTATTATCAAAATATTCTTTACCAAGCTAATCAACTATTAATTAAATCAATCAGTAGAAGAGATATGTATAAATCAATACTAAAATCTTCAATGTGTACCTCTAGAGAAAAGAAGTCGTGGTAATGAATCAATCTGTTCTTATCATATATAAAAGATTTTCTTTTTTAAAGAATTCTTCTTCATATACTTATTCAAATATAAGTACTTTTCATAAAATTTAGTAATAATTCTCTATTCTTATTGTTTTAACGTAAAACGAAATTATTTTCATAGAAAACTCAAGAAAA